GGGATTGCAGGTGTGCACCACCACGCCCCGTTCAGACTCCTGACCCTCCTGTGCCTGCTTCCCACATTTGGAGCTGGTGACAGCCACACCCATCTCTCCTGGTTGTGACTAATTCCCCAGTTCCCTGGACAGAGTCTGACAGTGCCACATACTGTGGGTGCTCAGGAGCTGCGGGCTGTGTCCCAGCTTGGCAGTGCTGCTGGGGAAACTTGGGACAGTTACCTAACCTCTCTGTGCTCCCCTAGTCCTTCAGACTCAGGAATAAGAAAGCTGGAAAAAAAAAAAAAAAAAAGGAATAAGAACGCTGGGCTGGGCGTGGCAGCACATACCTGTCATCCCAGCACTCAGGTGGCTGAGGCAGGGGGATCACCATGAGTTTGAGGCCAGCCTGGGCTACACAATGAGACCCTGTCTCAAGAACAAAAAATAAATAAAAAGAGCTGGAAGTGTAGTTCAGTGATGGCCTCTGAGATACATCACCAGTACTGAAAAAGAAAGAGATAGAGATAGACAGGTGGAGATATATATAGAGAGAGGGGTGGGGGGGCGGGAGCCTCAACTCGTGGGGAGCAGTACTTGGCAGCAAGAGGAGGAAATCGAGGCTGGAGGAATCTGCAGAGTGCTGTTGTGACAGGACTCATGTTGGGGGTAAAGGAGGCATCTGGGTAGGGTTTTGAGGGAGAACTAGGAGTTTGCTACATTCACTCTCTCGGGGCTGGGAGAACGGCAGGAGGGCAGGCACGATGACAGGGAAGCACTGGACGTGGTCTTGAGCAGTGCGGGAATGGGGAGCAGGGGCTGCAGCAGAGGCTGCCATGTGGCTGGGGGACCTTGCCCAACAATGGCTCCTTGGGTGCTGCTGGAGGCCAGAATCTTTCCCAGGGCTGGAAAGGGGCTCAGAAGGACTGGCTGCCAAGAACGCTTGGTGCACAGCAGGCTGTGGAGGAGAGCAGTTTCCCTCTGTGTTCAAGGCAGAAGGCAGGAAGGCGCCGGCACACCCCGGGCCCAGGACCTCAGGCCTGAGAGGAGGCCCCTCCCCGCCTGCCCGGCGGGCCTCAGCCCCGAGCAGCAGGCCCAGCCCTTTGTAGTTTCTATTTAGAGAAAGGGTCTTGCTGAGTGGTCCAGGCTGAGCTCTAACTCCTGACCCTCTTGCCGCGGCCTCCCAGAGTGCAGGGATCGCAGGTGTGCAGCACCGCACGGGCCTGGCTTCCCTGCCCCCTTTCCAGTTCGGTTTCTTCCCTGGGCCTGATTACACTCGCAGTTAAGTGCTTATCTGCGTCATTGTTGGTACAAAATCCGTCTCCCTAGCTCAAGAGAAGCTCAGTGGGGGAGGGACCCATCCTGCCCTTTATCATAGTGACCTTGAACCAATTCCTCTCTCTGCATGTCCCTTTCCTTATCTAGAAAATGAAGGCTGGGCTTGATGGCCCCTTGTAGTTCAAGCTAGTCCAGAGGCTGAGGCAGGAGGATCACTTGGAGTGCCTGCTTAGCATGCATGAGGCCTAGGTTGTGCCCCAGCAGCCCCACACAAACACATGGATTTAAATATTACCACCCAGGGCCCGGGATGGAGCTCAGCAGTGCAATGCCTGCCTCATAAGCACAAGGTCATGAGTTCAATTCCCAGTTTAAAAAAAAAAAAAAAAAAATTACCACCCATAATCCAAAAGATGGCAAAAAGAAAGTCAGGCCCAGTCCTGCACAGCTACGATCCCAGCATTTGGAGAGGCTGAGGCAGGAGGATTGTAAGTGTGAGTCCAGCCTGGGCAATTTAGAGATTTAGGAAGACCCTGTCACAACAACAGACCAAACACCCTAATCAAAAGACAGAGGCAACCAACTACTGCAAACATCCTATACTGCTTCCAAAAGACAAATTTGTATAAAAATACACAAGTATGGAAGGTAAAATGGTGGAAAAGAATGTAAAACTTAAAAAAAAAAAAAAGGAAAACTTCAGCTAGGTGTGGTATGTTATGCTTCTAATCCTAGCACAAAGGAAGGCTGAGGCAGGAGAACTTTGAGTTTAGTGCCATTTAGTAAAAAGCTATCTCAAAATAAAAAATAATAAAAGGGCTGGGGATGCAGCTCTAGGTGAAGGCCCTGGATTCAATCCCCAGTATTGCAAAAGAAAGAAAAAAAGAATGGAGTATTTCAAACATGACCTAAAGTAGAATCGGTGCATGCGATCCCAATAATAATCAAACAAAGTCCACGTGAAGGCCGGGGACACGAGATAAAGATGGGCACGTCCTCATAACAGAACTTCCATTTCCTCAGAATGTTTTTTTTTGCTGTTGTTGTTGTTGTTGTTTTGGTTTTTTCCCAGTACCGGGAATCGAACTCACGACGTTGCACTTGCCAGGCAGGCGCTGCACCGCTGAGCTAAATCCCCAGCCCCTTCCTCAGAAGGTGGCACGTGGCCAGTGCTGTGGCCCCCAAGTAGCAGAGTATGTGTCCTAGGAGGGAGGAGGCCTAACATGTACCACGCATCTGCCTGTACATTAGTGGGTCCATGAGGGTCTGCCACTATTTTTTTTTTTTTTTGGAGACAGGGTCCTACTATGTAGTTCAGGGTGGCCTGGAACTCACAGTGATCCCACTCCCGCCCACCACTATTGTTGTTTTATTTATTTACCCTTTGGGGGGGGGCAGGCAGGATGGAACCAGGACTTTCACACGACAGGGGAGGGCTCTGCCACCCGGCTGCACCCCAACCCAGCCATTATTATTGGTGGTGGTGTTTATATTTGGTATTTTGGTTTACTGTTTACTTAATCATTAGTCTCGTGTACGCAGCTCCTCCGGCCACCCTGGAGCAGGCGCAGGTGCATGCGCAAGGGAGCTCGCTGCAGATAACGCCGAGGTTCGAGTGGGGCAGGATGGCGCCCGCCTGGGGATCCCGGAACTCTGGGAGGCCGAGGCAGGAGGACCACGTGGTTGAGTCCAGCTTGAGCAACTTAGCAAATTAGTAAGACCCTGTCTCAAAATAAAAAGTGTAGTAAAATAAAATTCCTGCCAGGATAAGGGCGGCGGGGGGCGGGGCAAAGGAAAAGAACGCCAATTTCGTCGTGGAAAGGATTGAGACAGCACGGGCGAAGCGCAAATACCTTGTTTCAAAACAAGCCCCAGACAGGCCGATCTAATGGAGGGTGCCACCTTCTCCGGGGCTGGCACCTTATCGCCCTGAGACCCTGGCAGCTGTTATTGAGCGCCTGTTGCATGCACCAGATAACGTTCCGGGAACCAGAGCACGTGGGAGGGGTGGCTCCGTCTCGGGCCACTGCTCTGTGAGGTTCGGAGTGGGTCACCGGTGGACCCAGAGCCGCCCGGCCCCCGACCCAAGCTGCGCGGATGTAGCACGGGTGTAGCACGGTCCTCCCACGGGCTGCCAAGCTAAGAGTGCACGCAGGGCGGTGCGTACCCCCATTTCTCTGATGAGCAGGCTGAGGCGCACTCCGCGGGGACTCGTAGCTGGCTGCGCAGCGAATACCGCTTTCCAGATCCAGCGCAGCGCCCCCGCCCCCGCCTCCAGTGTTCCCGAGACTTCGGCCCCTTTAAGAACTACCCGCGCAGCCAAGCAGGAAGGGGGAGGTGCCTGCGCACGGGACGGACGTGCGTGAGAGCCAATGGGTGTGGTCGTCGCGGAGGCAGCGACCAATGGTCGCTGTGGAGGCGGGGCCGGGCGCCCGGAGCTGGTTCCCGAGGCGCGGCGGCCGCGGCTGGGGGCGGGGAGGGGGCGCAGG